CCACCATCACCACCATCACCACCACCATCACCACCACCACACCACCATCACCACCATCACCACCATCACCGCCACCACCACCATCATCACCACACCACCATCATCACCACACCACCATCATCACCACACCACCATCACCACCACACCACCATCACCACCACCATCACCACCATCACCGCCACCACCACCATCATCACCACTACACCACCATCAACACCACCACCTGGGGAACCTATGGAAAAAGATGGGCAGAAGTTTTTCACACTTGAGAACTATAAAAACCACTTGGACCAAATGGGAGTGCTATTTTTGCCTTTTCTCTAGAGACTGTAAAGGTTGTAAACCGCCTCAACTACTTGCTTCTGTTTCGCTACTCTGAATCTCTCTGACTCTTATTATGAAGGGAGGATCATTGTTTCTCACACAGTGATTCTTTGGGTCTCTGAAGTTGAAAGTCAGTGGGCCACCCTGTATTTTACCTGTCAGCCCTGATACGCCCATATACAAACACGAGCACTTGGGAGTGTTGATACACATGTTTCTTCGTCCCTCGGTTCGGTGACTTGGCACTAACCAAGTAAACAACATGGCTCTCTAATTGCGATGGCTACACAGAAGATGTACACGTATTTCTCCCCGTTCACCCATAATGCCCACCTCCATTAGGCACTACCCCAAGTCTCCAGTCACCCTCCCTGCTCAGAGTCTCTTCTATGCAGTCCCATCTCAGGCTCAGTCACAGGGCACCCCCCCCCCAACCCTACCCCATGTTTCAGAACAAGGGACAGCAACACCTAGCCTGGCTTTGACAGCCCCTGTTGGTGGGGAACACCAATGACAGAAAATGACTACCTTCTGAAATACCTTAATAACTTGCCTCCCACTTGAAGCTTTTTAACATCTCTTTTTCATTTCTTTAGGAGAAATGCCTGAGGTTAGCTCATCAAAAGACACTCGAGTGAGGAGGGCCAGCTGGATTCGGAAGAGCGCCAGTTCGCACTAGCTACCCAGCTTCCTTTCCTAGTGGTCACAACTTTGTTTTCTTTGCCAGTCTCTGTAACCAAATTTCCCCTTTAATTTCTAACAGTTTCATGCGTGTTTACAATGCATTGTAATCACACTTATCCCCATTGCCTTCTGCCACCCCCAACTCACTCCTGCGAACCCACTCCTTCCCAACATGCCCCTGCTTTCGTATCTTGAGTCCACATTTGCTGGTGCTTGTGTGCGCACACACACGCTAGCATGCACATACTTATTCAGGTCTTGTGCGGTAACCACAGCTGATGTGTGATCCTGTTTGCAACAGCCATGGCCATGCTAAGTCCAGAAGACAGCATCTGACAGCACTTCACCCAGCCCCTAATCTCACCAGCTTCGGGCCCCATCTTCCACAATGTCCCCTTGGCCTTGGGAGGGATGTCTCATCTTGGGCTCAGGGCAGGGTACTCAACTGTCGCTCTTGGCACTTTGGGTGGTCTTTATTTAGGAAAAGAGACAGACTTTCATCTTTGGGCTTCAGAAGATGACTTTTCCTTCTTCCGAGCTACAGATGACCTGGAGTAAAGGCCTTCGCTTCTTGCACTGAACTCCTAAGCACCTCGGCTCAATTGCTGGGTTACTCAAGAGACCTTGGATTTATCCTCAGTTTCTCCCTGTCCTTTTGCTTTGTCTTCCTCATTGGTTTTTCAGGACAAGGCAGGTTGGGAATATGAGGCCTAGAGGGGGAGATGCAGCAAAAAAAAGGAAGGAGGAAGGGAAGAAAAAATGGAAAGAAAGGAAAAGAGAAGGGGAGGGAGAAGGGGAAGGAAAGGTGGAACAGGGAGAATTAAAGTTCCCAGAAAGTAGTTGAACCAAGCTTTCTAAAAAGGCTGATTGTTAGAAGGGGAGGTTAGCATGGAGGTTAGCATGGTGCAGGACCATCTTGAGCTATCTCAGCCCCTTAAAAAGCTGCTAATTGTCCACATCTATGCATGACCTAACATCCTGTGCCTCCTAATTGAAGTTTGGGAACATATGAGCAGATCCCAACTGCTAAGAAAGCCATCACATACGCATCTGGGACCTATAGCAAAGTCTCCCCGCTTTGCTGTAACCTCCTGTTGTATCACCAGAGTTTGTAAAGTGACTTTCTTTGCTCTGTTATTTTAAAATTGTTACCAAGGTCAGAACACGGATATCTGAAGCCAACTGAATCTGTATTTCTGGACCATGATCACTCATTTGGCTCCAAAATAAACTATCTCTTCATCTCCTTTGAGCTGTGTTTTTTGCGTCGGTGATGGGGAGGGTAACAAGGTGAAGCTTTGCCCCCCACCCCGGAGGGTAGCTGGGGAGGGGTTGTGCAGGTAAGGTTTAGCAATAAAGTAAGGAGTAAATGGCAGAGGCAGCTTATCTGGTGACAGACACAGTATTCAACTTTTAGCCCTGGGCTTCAGCACAAAGGTTACCCACCGGGGTAGGAACGGGCCAAGGATTAGGTGTGCACCTCCTTCTGAAAGCTAGGAAGCGGAACTGACCTCAGGTTTTGTTAGGTTCAAGTCGTGTCACCCACCCTTTGAGGGTGAGGTGTTACCTCGTCTGAGGATAGGGGAGTGGAAGCCCATGGCTAGCGTGGGGGTGGGAGGAGTCCTCACCTGGGCGTTGGAACAGAGATTCAAAGCTTCTGGGGGTCAAAATTGGAGGGAACCGACCTGAACACAGTGTTGGGTTCAGACCTCTCCGCTGCTATGAGCAGATTGGGCAGAGCGCCTGGCGATCCTCACCCGGTGCTCCTCTCTCCAGTCTCCTGCCTCTGCCTGCGTGCTTTCCTAATGGGTCCATGCAACGCCCTCTTCCTTCGCCTTCAGTGGATCTGGCAACTCCGGGTTTGGGACTCAGCGACCGGTGGGTGCTAGCAGAGCCAGAGGGTGGCTGCGCGTCACAAAGGCGGCAGTGGGCTTGGCCGCGGCGAGCACAGGTCGCCTTCCCTGTTGCTCTTGGAGTCGGCGTGGGAGCAGCAGCGCGGGCAGAGGGGCAGGCGCGCTCGGCGTCCCTGCAGCCCGAGCCGGGCGCAGCGAGCCGGTAACGGGTGGCCCGAGGCACCCACGCATCCGGAGGGCAGTGGTGGCCCCGCGCAGCCGCTAGGCCCGCGTGGGAGGGGCGCGCCGCCCTGGTGACGGGACAGCCTTAAGTTTCCCTCGCTGGTTGGCAGCTGTGTCATATTATGGTGGACCAAGCCCAGGTTTGGGATTACTAGCATGGGTTCGGATCACTTACACTTACACTTACACTTACACTTAGAACACCATCTCATTACGAAACTCCCAACTCCCCTAGATTCTCTTTTTGCAAAATGGGCGTGTTCTCATCTTTATAAGGAAAATGCAGAAGTACCTTGGCCCCAGCTTACTAACAGCAGCTTGCTCTTACAGAGCACGTTCTACGTCCGAGGTGTATTCCCTGGATCAGCTCATTCGAATTTCCCAAAATTAGGAGAAAGGAATTATTACTATTCCTATTGTCAGACCAGACACTGAGGCACAAAAAATGTTACTAAGATCACAGCAGCAATTGACAGACCACTAAATTCCATTGCCTTCTGTCAGTGAAAGTGCTAATCTCGTTTATTGGAGGATCCTTGCAAAAAAAACACACAAACACACAGAGAGACAGACAGACACACACACAAAACTCAAACTCAGGGGGGAAAGGCTCAAAGGAGTAAAGCACTTGCCATGGAGGTGTAAGGACATGAGTTCAAATCCCCAGGACCTATATAAAGTTGTTGCTATAATCCTGTCTATCCTACAAGAGAGGAAGTGTAAATAGAAGAGATCTCAGAAGCTCTTGCACTATCTAATGGCAAATGAGATCCTGACTCAAGCAAGGTAGAAGGTGAAAACCTATACCACACACACACACACACACACACGAACTCACATTTGTAGCCCACCAACATAGTCTTCTAGCCTGTGACTTTGCCGAGGTTTGATTTAGCAAGTCCGCCCTCCCCAGCATGCACACACACACACGCACACACTGTTCCGGGAAGCAACACATGTCCAGTCTATGCAGTGCTAGGGATTAAACCCTAAATTTAGGCTGTGCTGGACAACCCTCTATTACCAAGCTATATCTCAGCTTTTGACTTGGCATTTTTAATTGTTTTCATTTTTCCAGATTAACTTCTTGCCTCTCCATCCATGCTATCCCCAGTCCAGGTTCATAACCTTGGACACTTTGTTTACATACAATGAAAGTTTTTGGTCGGGGGAGGGTTGGTTTGGTTTGGTTTGTTAAACAGTTTACAAGCTAAGATGTGCAAGTACTTATTATTACACTATCAGTGTGAGCACATCACATGAATTCACAGAAGTGTGAATTCACACTTCTGGGGCTTTGTACGTGCTGTCCCCTCCACCTGTGATATAATCAGCTTCTCCATCACTAGGCCAGCCTGGTCTGCCTTGCAGAGCCTACTCATCCTTCAAAACTTAGCTCAGACATCACCCCCTCTGAGAAGTCCTTGACACTTCCCCCTTACATGGAAATTAGTTGCTCATTTCTGCTATCCCCACAGTGTAGTGAGCATGCCTGGACACTTCTTGTATATTTTGTTTGAGACAGGATCTTGTTACATATCCCAGGATGACTGGGACCCGCTGTGTAGCTTAGGCTAGCTTTGAGCTTGTATCCCTTCTGCCCCAGCCTCCTGATTACTGCTGGGATTATCGAAATATGCTGCCACAGGCCGCTTCTCACTGTGCTGAAATTGAGTACTAGTCTGTGACCCGAGATGAACTATGCAGACTTCACAGGTGTGGGGTGTGTCCTGGGTTCACCAATGAACAACTTACATCTGATACAATGCAGTAAAAGCAGGGAAAGTTTGTTCAATTGAGTTTGATTTCTACCTGGCCGGTAACAGGTCTTCCTTTTTAACCCCTCACAGAGAACACGTGATTGTGTTCTTTCCCCATTTTGGGAAGCCCTGCTCACCACACCACGACGCTGTACATCCGGGTCCTTTGATGGATGAAGACAGCGAAGTGACCCAGCCCCAAGAGCAGAGCTGCTGGGCCACTCTGCCAGATGTGTGTCTGCGCCGTGTTTTCTGGTGGCTGGGAGACAGGGACAGGTCCAGAGCTGCCCTGGTCTGCAGAAAATGGAACCAGATTATGTACTCAGCTGATCTCTGGCGATACAGGACCATCACGTTCAGCGGGCGGCCGTCCAGGGTACACGCATCTGAATTCGAGTCAGCACTCTGGTACGTTAAGAAATTTGGCCGATACCTGGAACACCTGGAAATCAAGTTCCTGAACCCTTACAATGTGGTCTTGACCAAGAAGTTCCAGGTCACCATGAGAGGCCTCCTGTCGTGCCTGGGCAAGAGTAACAACCGCCTGCGGTCACTCTCCATCCAGCACTTGGAGCTAGATCGGCTGGTCTGGAGAAACAGCATTAGGGGTTCACTCATCAAGAGCCTGAGTTTTTTCTTAAAGAAAATGGGCAAACACCTGGACCATCTGAGCCTGAAAGGAGCCCGGCTGACAGTGGAACAAGGCTGCCACATCCTCAACTCCCTGAGCTACATGCGGAATGAGAATGTGGCCTCGGAACTCAACATCGAAGACTTCTTCAGCCATCACCTGGCTGTCTACGGCAGCTCCCAGTTCCACAAGGCCATGGCCACGTTCCACAACTTGACATTCCTAACACTCAACTACAACTGTATCTCTGACGAGCTGCTCGAGACCTTGAGTGAGAACAACGCTGGTACCCTCCGGATCATGAACATCAAATGCCATGTTCATGACCCTCATGGTCAGGTAGTCTGGGGTATGTCCTGGGCCAAGCTGGCCAGGCAGGCCAGCAACCTGAAGGTGAACTTCTTCTTTGAGCGGGTGATGAAATACGAACGCCTGGCCCGGATCTTGCTGCAGGAGATTCCAGTCAGGAGCATCAGTCTGAGAAGCTGTTATTTCAGTGACCCAGACTGGTCCATGCGGCCCACTCTGACAGACCTCCTGCCCACCTTCCGGAACACTCTGCAGGTGAGTGGCAAGTCTGGCCCCCAGGAGCCTGTGAGGAGCTCTTGTTCACAGGAAAGCCTACTACTGCCTGTTCTGGGCTAGGCTTCCACATGCTTCCTTAATTCTTTGTCAAAGTTCTGGATGTTACTAAGCACCTTCTCAAGCCTCCCACACACTCTCAAGACCACAGCAGATGTGAAAACCGTGATACACTGGCTGGCTGTCAACCAAGAAAAACTCCCTTATCCTTAGTGTAGAGTTGTGACACCTGAGCCAGGGGATGCCTTGCTGGGAACAGACAGCTTCCCACCTTCCTGCTGGCTCACAGCAGTACACTGGTGGCCTTGTGGTTCCTGTGGTCAGTACTTAGCATGGGATGGGGAGAAACATCCCCTAGGCTGTTCCAGCATCCCTGTCCCTTACCCTCAACCCCCTGTGCTTTCTAGAAGTTAACATTCGAGTTCAACAACAATCACGAGTCTCTGGATGAACAGCTGCATCTTCTCATCCTGGCCTGTCGGAAGCTGTTTTACTTCAAAATCTGGGCTTTCCTGGACGTTAAGTTTGTGGAGCGGATTCTGAAGAGCCAGGAGGAAGGGCAGTGCTCCCTGCGCACACTGAAGGTAAGGACCCTCGGCTGCTTGCGCGGGGTAAAAGGGGGACATCTAGACTTGGCACTTTTGCTCTTATGCCCATTAAAAACTGGGACAGGGACAGATATGAGGCAGGCACTGCCCCTGAATCCGTCCATGGGAGATGACCAGTCCACACACAGGCTCTGAAAGTCTCTTCTCTGTCTCCTCTGGGGTCTACATCCATGAATCTAGCCAGCCGTACGTCTTTCGGAAGATGTATGGTTTTCTATTGTTATTATTCCCCAAACATAACATCTGAATTATAACTGACATTATAAGCAACCCAGAGATAATCTTCATGCTCTGTTCCATTTTACATAAGGGACTCAAACATCCATGCATGCATCTTGGAATCCAAACGGGGCCCTGGCATTGGTCCCTTGTAGTTAACGAGTGAAATTTGCTTGGGGTTTTTCTGTTTCTACCACTAATTTTGTGTGTATAGATGCATTTACATGGTTGTCAGATCCTAAGTTATGTAGCCACAGTGTGTGTGTGTGTGTGTGTGTGTGTGTGTGTGTGTGTGTCTGTGTCTGTGTGTGTGCATGGGTGTGTTTCTTTATTGGCACAGGTGAGAATTTATACAAACCGATACGAGACAAA